TGCACCTTCAGGCATATCAGCGATGTTAGAAAGCACTGCTGTTCAGAATTTACTAAAAAGCAATAAAATAGTCACATTTTAACTGGCATGTAATCTGTAGTTGACAAGCTTATGTTTAAGCCCAGTCTATAACTGTCATGTATTTTTGCTAAGATAAAACAGAAAGCACTATGATGGCTGAGTGGCTAGGATCCCAGTTCTGCTCACCAAAGACTGTTGGTGACATATCTCTAACATATCCGAGCTCACAGATTAATGGAACTAGAGGGTTTAACCATGACTTTAAAAAGTATTTATTTGGGAAAGAGTTACCTGTGCCTCTGCCCCAGAACTCTGCCCCGGAGGCAAGAGCAGCTGTTAGTCTCTGCTGGTTATTTGTAACTCGAGGGTTCACCAGTGGGAGAGAGCTTCCCACAGAAGACGAGATTTTCAGGCTCCTGGCAGGGGCTCTTCATTTCAAGGACGGAACTGAGTGCCATGATGTGCTAATGTCACAACGTCATTTAGACTATCCCTTGGAGCAAATGTGACCGGCTATTGTTCTCAGTGTTCTTTATGGAGATTTACTTTGTTGTAAGTTATGGCTATTGGAATGGTCCACACCGAATGGTTGACCTGACAACAAGCTCCCACTGGCCAACTCTTGGACAGAGCCTGTGCCACAAAACAGCTCTTGAATGACATTAACACACTTTATACCCTGAGTGCACCTATGTGGGAGTATATGTGTTAAAGGAGGCAGTTATTCAAAGAACCACTTTTTTACCCACAATATGTCCCTTCCACTGGGATTCCAGGCCCCAGACTGGGAATAGAGAAAGACAGGAGAACGTACTTGGGAAGTGGAGTCTGATGGACCCAAGTTCAAATTCAGAGGTCACCTCCTGGTTGTATAACCTGAGGTAAGTTAACTTCACCAAGGCTCAGTTTCCTCGTAAGTAAAAATCAGAAGCTAATACCTACTTAACAAGTTATTGTGAGGACAGCATTAAGTGATTCGTGTCATTGAGGGAGGGGAGAGGGGTACAGTGTGCAGACCCTACCACCCACAGGCAAAAAACATGTTAGTTCAACGTCCTCTCCCCATCCAAGTTGGAGTGGAGTTCAACTTGTCTACTCATTATCTGAGGGCCCTGGACAATTCATTCAATCTCTCCTGTCTCAGTGTCTCCTACTGAACTTGGAAATGGGACCTCCAAGCCTCTTCTTGTCCTAACATTCTGTCCAATCAGTGTAATTGTTAGGGAGACTTCCTTCCAGTCTCTGTTCTTATACTTTCCTGTGCCCTCGTACACTCTAAATCTCTCTTTACATCCACGGTGCCAGGACCTTCCAGTTTCTGCCTTTTGGATTCCATGACACCGGCTCTGTTTTCTCCCTCCACTGTGTTTGCTGAAAGTCATCTACAGGCCAAGGGCTGTGTTAAGAATGATACAGGCTTCATCACAAAATAAATCCTCACAACCACCTGTGGAGTACCTTATTATTATTATTAATGATGCCCATTTTACACATGAGGAAGTCAAGGCTCAGAATAGTAAGCAATTTGTCAAAGGTATGGAATTTAGAGCTGGCTCTTCCCAGCTGCTCCTAATCGTCACACGCTACACTACTTTTCTATCCTCTCTCTGAATCTGCTTTGAGTTTTATCTTCTTATGGCCCTCCGCTGTGCTAACTTACCTCATAAAGTACTTTGTATTAATAACTTTATGTGCTACACCTGCCTGGTGACATTCGTCCACATTAACCAGCACCCATTCTCTCTGAACCAACAGGGAATTTGTACTTGGATACTCAGGCCCTGCAGCTGGTAGGTGAGGGTGAGATTCAAGACAGGCAGGACTTGAATACATCTTTCAAATAACAGCACATGGTCAAACAGCTACTTAACTGCCATATGACACTGGCGGAAGCGACCAAATCTTAGTTCAAGCCTAAAATCTATGAGCTTCCTAGCTGCCATAAGCCCATCACAGGCTGATAAAGGAAATGGGCTCATGCTTTGGGGTAAGACAACCCCAGGTTTACTAGTCAAGGGCACTGCGGTGGACGTCTTAGACCCTCTGAGTTTCCTACCTGCTAAATGATCTTGGGTAAGGGAACCCAATGGACCTTCAGGTTCTTCATCTATAAAACTGGGAAAAGCATGAGCAGCCTTAGAGGACTCTTGTGGGGGTGGAGGAGTGCCTGGCCTGTAGTAGAAACAGCTTATTAGCCTGTTGGGAGAGTGAAGGGGCTTAGGGGATGGTCAGGTTGTTTCCAATATTCAGGGCAGTGTAGATTGAGCAGAAAGATGGAAAAGATGGAAAGGTGCATTGGACTCGCAGGACCTGCCAAATCTGAGGACCCATGCTGGATGAGAGCTGGATGCCCTGTTACACATAAGCCCTAGACTAATCTGATCCGTGATTCCACACTGCTAGCCCGCCGGGCAGCAGTTGCTCGAAGTATGTATGTGTCTCAGGTGAGAGGTTTCCACTGAGACAATACTCGGGATGTAATCACACACTGTGTCTCACCTCAGAGCGCCAGGAGGTTGCCTGGGCAACTGAACTATTCTGGGCCTTCCTTATGGGATCCCAGCTCCTGGGCATCCACTTCCCAGTGGGCTCCCCTCCCCTGCCCTCACATTCTGCAGCCCCAGAGGAGCCCTCTTTCTCCTGCTTCAGGAGATGAGAGAAGAAATGGGAAGAGAAGGAACTGACCAGGCATCTGGACCTCAGCATTTTATTTCCTTTTCATTTCATTTCCTTAGTTACGGCACATCTCCACTTATGAAGTACTTTCCCTTACAAAGCCTCTCAGTGTTTACTTCTAACCTACTAAATAATCCTTCTGACCTCTCTTTATTTTTACCCTTTAAGTATCTGTAGATGGTTCATTCACCACATTCCCCATTCAGTTATTAATGGCCCACAAAAACTCACTAGCAGCAATCACTGCTTGATTAATCTGCACAACAACAGAGAAAGATGGGGAGCATTAATCCTTCCTTCTGAACAGGGAAACCAAGGGGAAAAGAGAGGTTAACTCAGTTGCCCAAGGTCAGCGGCTAAACAAGATTATAACCAAGATCTATCTTGTCTTGGATTTCTGTGAACACTACTCTCAGTGTGGTTCTATTTCTTCACAAATCAACATTGTCAATGCAGCTACATCATTTCTGTGCTGAGATTCCATTGTCAGAGAACAGTTTATAACTGTCGAAATTCAACCCCAAATAGTTTTGCCTGCTAATAGTTCATAAATAAAAGTTGCTAAAATGAAGAGAAAACAGTACTCCAAAGCAACTTTTGCAGAGGCAAAAGAGAAGTGAAAAGCTGCGGATTATACACCCAGCTTCTGCCTCAAGGAGACTCTGAGAAAGTCACTTAACTTCTGAGTCATCTGTAAAAATGAGATTATGCTGAATGCTGTTCAAGCTATCTTGCTGTTTTCCATGAGATGACTGAATACCTATGAAACCAGCACAAAATACAAAGTTCCAATACCCAACGCTGCCAAGATTGTGGTAAAACTGGTATATTCATCACTATTAATGACGTTCATGGCCACGACCCCCTCAGAAAGCAAGGTGCTGGCAGACAACAAGAACCAGACAGGGTTTCATATCCTTGGCTTTGAAATTTAACTAAGACCATGTTTTAGCCTATGAAATAAGTCAATGGAAGCAGAGAGACATATACAAACAAAAATGTCCATTTCAGTGCTAGCTAGCAGAGGAAAAACTGTTATTGATTTAAATGTTTTTGTTAGAGGAATGTTTTATTAAATAGAAACATAGAACAATACACACACCATGCTGCTATTAAAAGGAATAAATATGAAAATTAAGCAAAAATCATTTAAAATCTTACAGATATTATTAAATTAAAATAACCAAAAGTACAAAAACAAATATGTACTTTGATGTCAACTATATAAAATGTGGCTTGATGTCCAAGATCCCAGGAAATCTCAAAATATGTTACAGTATATTACTAGCTGTATTTATTGACTTTTAAATATTTTACTGTTTTTAGTTACTGTTACTATTCATTCACATATACATTTGATCAACTATTTTAAAATTTCTCAAGCCCTGATTTAAAGTTTATTATTAAATTGCTGCATAATTTTTGTTGGCCGACAAATTATTCATGACATTTTTCCAGAGTAATTTCTGCTTTCTACTATATAGTTCTTTACTGTCTTTAGAGATTCTAACATCTCAGAACCCTTGAACTTCTTTCCCTCACCTAAAAGGATTCTTAAAAAGATCTGCCACCTAATCCAGTTATGAATAACTTGTAATGTTAATACTTGGCAATGACTGCCTTGTAGTGTTAGTTAGTGTCTGGCAATTAATTCCTGACCCAGGTGTTGGGGTACTCCCACAAGCCTGACCTTTGGGTATCTCTAATAAGAACCACAAAGTTGTCGTTACACTTTTCACAGTGTATAAGGGGGTTTCATGTTCCAGGTTTCTGGAGTGTTACCGTGGGACATTTTATATTTTCACGGTTTTTAGGGCCCCCTCTGGTTCACTTAGAAAAGCTGTTCTCAATCAACACCATGCTAGGGCCTTCCCTTCATAGGACTTTTACACGTTCCTTCATTTCTTAGAAATGTTCTCTTACCTGTAGGTCAATTGTACCTCTTTACTTATAATATCTGGGAAAGGCTGCAGAGCCAATGAATTAAAAATATGATTCTAGGTCTCATGTGTGCCAATGAATGCCCTCATTAAAGCAGAACGAGTAGATGAGATCGGTTTCAAAGCTTTCCGTCCCTCTGCCCCAGAGCCGCCAAGGCCAGGCTCTGAAAGGATGCACAGTAAAATTAAATATCTAAAAATTCATCTTTAATTAACAGAATTGGATTAAAGCTAGACACCACGGCATATCATACGAGAAATGGCTGAGCTGGCTTCCAAGTGCTCTAATTCAATTAGGACGCAGTGAGTGACACTCGGACGGGAAAGGTTAATTGGGGGCGCCAGAACGCAATCATTCCTTACCTAACCAGTCATTAAACTTCTTAACCTCTGAGGGCAGTCCCAGCTCGGTGAAATCGCCTGTGTGGAGAAGGATGTCCCCATAAGGCATCTGGATACCATCTGTTCTGGAGTGTGTGTCTGAGATGCAGACAAACCGCGTGTGGCCCGCTGGTTTTGGAGTGTCATATGGGATGGGGTCGACCCTAAAGTAGACATAACAGATCCCATAACAGTTAAATATATTAGAACCCTCGTAATTGTCATCGCACATACACATTGATCGTCATCTCTGAACGCACCCAGACAAACTGATGCAAAGGCAGAAGGGGCTGCTGGTGGTAACGAGGGACACTCTGGGGTACAAAGGAGACAGTATCCCCCAACTACAACCCCAATGGGAAAATTCGAAAAGTCTTACTTACCTGGTACAAAAATTACAAAGAGTATCTTACATGCAGAGTCAGAAATAACCCAGAAAACCGAGAGAGTGATTAATGGTGAAGTTTAGGGATACTGAACCCCAACAGGGGAAGCAAAATTATGCTATTTTGTCTCTCATCATGCTGCAATTGATCCCACTACTCATTAGAAAGGAATAACTAATTTATTCCTTCTTGAACACGGGTAAGTCAAGCACTGAACTAATTTACGAAGGGCAGGGCACAGGCGCTGCCACCTGAGATGTGCAGAGACATACTAGATGGCACTAATATTTAGTCTCCTTTCCAGAAGCATTTGACACCTGTATCTTCTTGTTTTTGCTAAGCGATTCTCAAAGCAAACTGTGGGGAGGGGAGGTGATGCTAAAATAAGAGAGCTTTAAAAAAAAAAAGCACTGGATGCTAAAAACATCTGTCAAGCTCCGTCTTTACCACAATGAATTAGCTGCCATCCCAGGTACACCTTAGGTTACTCAGAATGCCCAAATGCCTCGGGCAAAGATTCTCTGTAGTACAAACAGTGAGCCTGTTAATGGGTGTCTACGGACACACATATGCATTAATATATGTATAGTTTTAGAGACCTAAGCACTGTGAAATTACACTAGGGCATAAGAATCAAAAGGCAAAATGATCAACCCAAAGCAAAGAAAATGAAACAGAACATTCTCATTTAATTGAGTGTAACAAAGTGTGCTAAATAAACGTGGGGCAGAAATGCAAATCTGACTCTTCAAGCATACATAGTTTTAATTATTTAAGGGGCTGGTAGCAGAGCTGAGGATGTTTTAACTGCATTAGCTCTCCACTGACAGCTTCCTTTAATTTTTCTGTGGGTGTGCATACTTATTTGGGAGCGTGGGTGAAGAAAGTAGTTATAGATGCAAAGAAAAGGTCACGAGAGAAGCAAACACACAGGGCAGGGATCCCAGTCTGAACCATTAAAGAAGGAACAATATTTTATATCACAGCTCCACTCTGGACGGTTAGCATGCAGCAGAAAACACACAGAAAGCTCCACATAACACTCCCTAGACAACTCGCCTCCGCGGGCTTGGTTTAATTTTTCGTTCCCTTTCCTGCTTTTTAAAAAGAAGCAATCGGTTTTAACATTGCAACTGGAGTGAGGAAAACAAAGACATCAGTATACAACTTGGTTGGCCTCGCATTTCTCTCATCGCTAACCTCTTTCATTTTATTTTCTTTTATCTTTGACAGAGAAGGAAAGAAAGCAAAAAGAGCTTGAAAAAGACAGAAAAGAGGAAGAAGAGAGAGGCACTGTGAACTGGTTAACACAGTGGATGGATCTAAACGGACACCCCAAAGGAAAGTTTACCTTCTGCCAAAAACGAATGTATTTTCCCTGTAAAGGTTAGAAATCAATAATGCTGTTACCGTAGAGAAAATGGACTAACCCACTGAGATCTCGTGAGGAACCTGGAAACCCTCCTGATTCTATCCCACGTTGATTTTATTTTCTATCCCACGTTGATTTTATTTTAATGTATGAAAAAGTTTGGTATCTTCTTTCCCATTACTGAAACCCTTCTACAATCAGTCTCCACGGCTCTAATCTTATCAGCATCTCCTCTCTGCTAAAAGCAGTTTACTCCGAGAATGAACGGTGGTGCCCTGCTGCAAAGGACTGTCACCCTCTCAAAGTGATAGGGAATATTTTATTCCCAGACCTAAAGCCAAGATGCTCACTGGAATGGGACTACGCACATTTATACTTTATACACCCACATGTGAATGAAAATTTAAAGAATTAACCACTGGACTTTAGACATATGAATACATTCAATATTATATATGTCTTTATTTTTTTAATTTTTCATCCTAATAACAACAATCCCCATTTCTTCATTTCAATAACTCTGCTAAACTACAGGCTCAAGGACTGCATCGGACTCTTTTTTAAAAAAATTTTACTGTTGTTCAATTACAGTCATCTGCATTTTTCCCCACCACTCCCCCCACCTGACTCCCCCTCACCCCAAACCCACCTCCCTCCCTTGCTTTCACCCTCCCCCCTGGTTTTGTCCATGTGTCCTTTATAGTAGTTCCTGAAAACCCTGCTCCCCACTGTCCACCCCTCCCCTCTGGCTATTGTTAGACTGTTCTTAAGTTCAATGTCTCTGGTCATATTTTGTTGGCTTCCTTTTCCTTTGTTGATTATGTACCAGTTAAAGGTGAGATCATATTATGACCCCATCCAAATCCACCAAAGGGACATCATAATCATCACTTTCAATTCATGAAACAGAAAACAGCACAGATATAAACCCTTCACTGTGAACAGGCCCCATTCTACAAAATCTACTCAATGTAAAGAAGCAAACCACATGGTACCTAATGTGTTTCCCATCTTAGCTCCATATTGGACAATAACTTCCCAAGACTATTGGCATACGTCAATTTTTGAATGGTTGCAACTTCCTTCCCCACCCTACTACCTCATCCAGAGAAACATTTAAATGTCCAACAGAATTAACATGAAATAAAGGCCAAGGAATAGAAAAAGAGGAGACAGAAAATAGGGAGAAAATGTGTCTTCCCTCAGCTTTGAGCTGAAACAAAATAATGAGTCAGAAGTACCCCAAAATAATGGCAGAAAGCTCACCCTCTGCCACCGCTAACTTGATGTCACCAAAGATAAACAATTTTGTATGCATTTGAGAGAGAGATGAAGAGCCAATGTAGGCCGTGGACTGGGGAGGGGCAGGTATGAAGATGCAAACCCAGAATTTCTACACATCCCCAGACCCAGAAACACTGACGTCCTCTGTTGCCCATGGGACCAAGTACAAGAAGATGAGACAGTGCAGCATGTCAGAGCCGGGCTGCAGGACAACATGACAGATATCACCTGGGGGGTCACACAAAAGAAGACATGTCCACCCAAGGACATTTTGAGCCGGAAATAGGACGTCTAGTAGAACAGGCAAGTTGTAGTGGATATAGTTAAAGTTCAGACAACCCTAGGGAAACTACTATTTCCAAACTGGGCATCTAGCAAACACTTTGAAGTCAAGACATAGAAACTTTTCACCGTAAAAGCGCGCGTGGGTAAGGGACAGCCTGACTGCCACTGGAACACCTACCTATTCACACTGTGTGAAGACCCTCGTGCTACGTGGTCCCTCTTAGTTAACAACTTGACTGCTTACTGTTTATGCTGCAGACTTCTCAAGTGACCTAACATTTCCCCCAAGGCATCATGTCAAACATCCTAGCAAGTGGAGTCTCTTACCAAGGCGCTCTAGCCCCTAGAGCCAGATTCCAATATCAGAATGAGATTTACACATACATCTGAGTACACCCACGGGGAAACAAGATCACATGAGAAGATGAGAAGAAAACACAGCATCATAAAATCCCAGAGCCTGACAAAACCTTAGGGGGCCCCGGGTTCAATGCTTTGTATAAAGCTGGAACCCTCCCCACCTCCCTGTCTAACTGACATTCAACTTTCTTTCCAAGGTTTCCAGATAAAAAGGAGCTCCCGCATCCCCTGCCCTCCCCCGGGGCAGCCCATTCTGGGTTTTGATAGCTCTCCTTGCTAGAAACTTTTGGACTCAGAGCCTGAACCTCTGAGAAAGCTGAGCATGGTCCAAGGAGACTTGGCCTGGAGCCTGAAGACTGAGTAACAATTTTGGCTGAGTTACTCACTTTGGACAAGTTATTTCATTCTTTTGGTCTTCATTTTTTTCCCTTCATTTGTAGGATGGGAATAATAATGCCTAATCTGCTAAATCGCTCCAAGGATCTAAACTGCCAAGCACTGGGGTCTGGCACATAGCACATGCTCAGAAAGCAGAGATGCAGAAAGACGTGAGGATAAAGCACGTGTAGCCACACGGCCAGGCCGTCTGGCTCTGAATCCCACTCCACGATGACCAATGGTGTGGTACCAAGCAAGGTGCCCGGCTCCTATGCCTTGGTTTCCTCACCAATAAAATGGATATAAAAATAGTACCCATCTCGTAAGACTACTGTGAGGATAAAAAGGGATAAAGTGTTCAAAGCATGTGGAACTGTCTGACACACAGTAGATACTCAATAAATGCTGTTGGGTTTTGTTGGCTAATCACTAGTACTTTTACTACTCTTATCAGTAACATCCTTCAGTTTCTCTGACCGCCATCTCTCCTTCGGTAAAAAGAGATCCTAACAGCTACCACACAGGGTCCCTGTGAGAATTTAAGTTCCCATACACACCGCCTGGCACGCACTGGGTGCATCAACCACACTCCATCAACACATTCACTTCCTCCCTGTCACCCCTTCTTAATCCTAGTTCTGAAATGACACCGTAAGAATTCAGTCCCTTCTCCATTTGAGAGTCCTTTTAATATTTGAGGATTATAATCCCTTGAAAGTTTCTGTCCTCAAAGTGAAGAGCCACCGTTTCCTCAGCTTTTCCTCACGTGACAGGATCTCACGTGCCCTCAGAGTCCTGGTGGTCACTGCCTAGGTACAATCTGATTTGTCGGGACCCCTGGGTCTGTAGCGTCAGAATTCGCAGGCAGTGTGAACTCGTGGACCAGTACACTTGTTCATGACAAATGTTGGCTCAGGGGACAGCGCTGGACACTCGGGTGGACTTTCCCAGAGGCCTGAGCTATCGCCTTAACCCATGTTCTAATGAAGTCTCCAGGTTTTGTGCCAAGCTTCCAATCTTGCTCTTGAAACTTGATGGTCAAGTGTTTACATGTGTCACTGAAAAGTCAAACAAATAAACCATTCTTGTTTATTCAGTC